TCGATCGTTATTTCGTCGATAATTTCACTGATCTTCTTTATCGATAGATCAAAAGGAAATGAAGTCGACGATGGTTAAACGTAATCAGTATTGGCGTCAGTTACTTTTGGAATCTACTCGAGAAGGGAAGCACCTCGCGACGACGATTCTCACCAAAGGTACTACACTTTCTTTAGCACACCTTTGGCGGCCATATGCGCGCAATGATCACGGGGATCTTCATTGGGAGGATAATCGTGGCCTATTAGACGACCTTAACGAGATTTCAACCGCGTTATTCTTCCACCTTCGCTGCAGTTAACCGCTATTGGCAAATGCGGCGGTTTGGTTTCATTTCGCGGCGGCTAATTTGCCAGCCGGATTCATCGATTAATTCGGTACACGGATGGAGCAAGATTTCCACCTTTTGATTTTGTTCGATGGTAACTTAATAAGAATCGGGGATCTCTTGTTAGCAGGGATTATTGTCTCATCCTCGATTTCTAATTTAATTAATGACCTCGTTCCAAGTGATCAAGTAGTCGTTAACTTAAGATTGATTTCTCTAACGAAAGAAGAAGAAGAAGAAGAAGAAATTAAACGAAATCACCGCAGATTTACAGGGAAAATTAAAATCAAATTCGATACAACTGATAAATATAACTCTGGGCTCGACCAACAACTCCACACGATTCCCCGAGTTCGATATAAATTTTTTAGCTAACTTAAAATGATTTCACGCACGAATTAACGTATAAAACTTTTATATCTTAATATTTTATCTTCTAAACCCATTCACTTTTGAATTACACTTTCGAATCAAATAACATCGTACAGAATATAACAATATTCTCGAATTCTCGAAGATAGTCCCCCAGTCTTTTCGATCTCGCGCGACAAAATCCCCCAAACTCGAATTATTGGCGGTGGAATCACGGCCGCTTTTATCGGATCCGCGATTCATCGCGCGTCGGCGAACGGGACAATCGGGTTTCGATGACGTCGATCGAAACGGCGAGCACGGCGCGAGTACAATAAGTATCGTTTCCCATCGACGATTCGGGGGACAGGCGGCTTAATTAGCGAATTAATTAAACGCCAATGAAACAGCGGCCCGATATCTTTCGTCCGCACAATGCTCGCGCGAGCTCCCTCCCCCTCCAATTCCTGTCTGCCGGTGACGCGGCAAACTGGAGCACGAATAATCGGCGACAATTAAATGGTGGACCGGCTCCCGATCAATTTTCCGCCCCGCGAATCTGCGCCTGAGATAGCGGACTCGCGAATCCGAATCCGTCACCAAGTTCACGCATCCCCAACATCGTCGTCTCTATTCATTGTCGTTAGAGTTGATACTTTCGAGAATTTCTCTCGATCTGGAGAGGAATTTTTATTTTTAAACCCTTTGTTATTTTATTGAGAGGAAACTTTACAACAACGTGCTCTCACATTCTATCGTCTATTTCTACAGTGCTCCATAAAGATCAACCCGAGTTGCTTAGATGGTATTTATTGAAAAAAGAAAAAGTTTCCTCGAAACAGGATTATTTGTGACTTCTAAACCTGCTCACTTTTGAATTACACTTTCGAATGTAATAATACGATACGATTACAAGGGTCGATTTTATTAATTTATAAATACATGTATAATGTAATTACATTCTAGGGACTCTTGATTGGTAACCTTCTTAAATACAAAGGATTGATTTCCACGCTTCTTGAAATTCGATCTCGGAGGGATCCCTTCGAAGGGATAGAAAGAATTTGCACGATCCATCATCGTTATCGACCGATCTTCTCACGCGTTTTCCAAAAGATCTTGAAGTCAGCGTAAACGTTACTGGCTCACGTATCTACGCCATCTACCTCGACGTATTTCCCCACTCTTTTGGATAAAATCTGAAAATCGTAGAAATACATCGGTCCACGTAGCAAGGAGGAGACGAAGAGAGTCGATTGATAGAATCGGCCCTTCAAGGTACTCGAGTCGTGTCTCGCCGGATTTATCGAGCTTCGAGGAGGAATCCCGCTATTTTGTCCTCCGCCAGGTTGGAAAGAAAGATTTAAGCCAGTGTCCAGCGACGGTTTAATGGCGTTTATCAGGAAATTATGGGAGATAAACGGAGCGCCTGGATGCCTTCTTTCTCCTCTCGTCGAAGAAAATTTAGTGTTATCGTTCGGTGTTGACGCGCGTGTTTCGATTTCGAACCGACGAAGATCTCGAAGCGTTTTTTTTTTTTCAGGGGAAATTTCATTTAGCCCGATGCTGTGCAGATGGAGATGGAGCGATAAAGAGAGATAAGAGGACGGTCGTTTTGTTGTTTCCAGATTGGTGGGAAACGAAATCTCGTCGGTATGCCATGTTTCGAATTAAAATTTTTTTCACAATCCTGATATTATTTTTAATTACAACGGCAAGAGTTGGAGTTAGAGCGGTTCAAGTAGACTTACTTGACGTTTTCGAGAAGAATAATTAAAAACCTCCCGTTAATTTATCCAAACTTTTTTAATGTTAAATTTAATGAAACGAGACGAAAAATTAATTCTGAAAAATATCCCTGACACGGGATTAAAAATTCGAACGAAAAATATAAAACGTAAAATATAATTAATAATCGTTCTCTGAAATATCAAGTTTTAATCGACGACGAGTATACAAATTTCGAGACATTTCCAGAAGTAGTTCATTCTTTTCCAATATATAATTCTAAACGTATTTATAAATTAAAAAAAAAAAAAAAAAAAAAGAAAGAAAAATACTACGACAAC